TTATAACGAAAATAATAGGATTTGACTTCAAGGCCGAAGGTAAGTTTACCTCATAATATAATACACAATACTCAGAGTTATGATTTGCTCCTTTAATTGTGTTGTAAATAACAAAGTTTACTCTTTTGGCAAAGTTGCCCTCCCATTTTTCAATATTTCATACAAAATTGAAGGGTTGTCAACAATCTTATTTACGTACTTTACTTAAATTTTTTATATCAATATTTTCACAATAATTTTTAGGAGGTATACGTTTTTTTATTTAAATTCTCAATAATTATTAATAAATAAACAAGAATAATTATGAATAATTTTCTTTGCTAGAGTCATCGTCACTATCAAGAAATTCGTGCGTAAATCCAGGCGACTCTATGGTGATCCGAACTTAATTGCCACAATCAAAACTTTAACAATCTCTTTTTCTTCAGATTCACTTAATCTCTGCGGTGCACCAGGCGAAAGCATATGAAGCCCTTTAACTTTATTTTCTATTGTACGTCTTGGTATGTAAAATCGCTTTCCGCTTCCATAGAATATGTTTCTTTTGTTAATACTGAGTTGACGGCGACATTCTGAATTTATTCTGAGTAATTTTTATATGTTCTACTTCCTAATTTCAGTCTACTTTGGCGACCCATTTTCCTAAAGTGACATCATTTTATTTAGATCAGGATTTTTTTTATAAACAACCTATATTTTGATTTCCAACAATAGCAAAACTAGTTAAGTTAAAGTATAAGTAAGCGATTAAAATGACACTGTTCTTTGGGTGCAAATTATATTAATACTCTAAGTTAAAAATATGAAAAAATACTAAAAAGTAATCATATTATTAATACCTGACAACGCAGTAAAATAATATAGATTTCTCTTTTCTTTTTAGGGTTCCGTACCTCAAAAGGAAAAAACGGAACCCTTATAGGATCACTTTGTTTTCCGTCTGTCTGTCTGTCTGTCAAGACCCTTTTTCTCAGTAACGCGTGGAGTTATCAAGCTGAAATTCATATCAAATACTCATGTCTATTGTCCCTTGGAACTGTGAAAAAATCAAACTTCTAAGCCAACGCAATCAAAAGATACAGCCGTTTATGCCGCAAATTTTCGACATTCGCAAAGGAATCAAAACCTATAGGGTACTTCCCGTGAACTCAGAATCTTGAAATTTGGTAAGAAGCAACGTTTTATAGCACAGATAAAGGAAAGATTGCGAAAAGCATAAATTTTTAGTTACATCATATAATAAAAATATTTTATTTAAAGTTATATACCTACAGATTTGTTCGGAACCCTCGGTTCGAGAGTCCGACTCGCACTTTGCTGGTTTTTTTTTTATAAACATGAATCGATTAAATGTCATTAGATTCATTTTTATTCCAAATAAAATCGGTCCAATAGTCTGCTACGGTGAAACATCTATACAAACATACATACATAGATTGATAATTTGAATCGCCATAGTCGGGTCAAAATATAAACTAAAAGTGACAACCCTTGGTTGTACCAAAACATGGCAAAGTAACCGTCACATCCTGAAATCTCTAGTATGGTAACTTTGCCAAGTTTGTTTTATGGACAAATATTAAGACTACTATATTAAAAACGAAATATTACATTTCCTAACCATTAATATTACGTTATTACAAAGATATAGGTATGTAGATTCAGTATTTCAACTAAAATCCACAAAAGTTCTGGAACACTGAAAAAGGTGTTTATGTCGCCGGCACAATTTCGCGGTAAAATACGAGTAAAATGTTAAAATTTACTCTGATATTGCCATATTCAAAATAATTCCGTTAATTAGTTATTAAATTTTCATACAAAAAATGACAAATCTCAAAAAACGTTACGTTTTCCGGGTTAATCGTAATTTTGTACCAGTACACCGTTGATGGCTAAGTTACCTTCCATTGGTAAAGTTGCCAGACTTGACTGTAGCGTAACAAATATTGTTCGGTTATGTAGCTTGCCGAACTGACAACGCCTCTAGTTAGTAGTTCTACGTTCGCCATACATTGGCAGTGCAAGTGCTCTTTCACACATATGCACCCAGCAGATGAGTCAAGCAATGTGCAACTAAAGACAATACTTGCTCTACGGCCTCCATTTCCACCGGTGCAACAACAACTCCTTTGCCGTTTTTAACTAACACCTACTCTGGGTTCCGAACCCATTATGCCAGTCCCGCTCGGAGTTGTAGCTCTTTCACTGCCCACTTCACAGTGGGTGTTCATGCTAAGGCTACAAAATCCCGTTAAATGGAAGATCGGATCTTGTAAAAACGTTTATTCCATTAAACGTTACGTATAGGTTGAAGATATAAGGACAATTAAAGATTCAGATCCATAAATAATAAATATATTTAATCTGCACATTTATTTCAGTTAGGGTTTGAAGTACACGTTCCTCGCAGAGGAAAAATATTCTGAATCTAGTATCGCACTTGCAGACAATCATACATAGACATTAGATAAGAAATAATTAACATAAAAATATGTTAAATATTACACTCATTTATAGAGTCAATAATTAAAGCATGTAATTCCCTAATATAAAAATATTAAACAACCGTTCATTATAAAAAAAGTCCATCCATTCTTCTTCTATTATTTAAGACATTAAACACAGAATATATTTTTCAAGGAACATCAACAGAACTACGATTTTTCCGGTATCGTATCATCTTCTACTTCTTCCACTTCTTCTTCTACCATTATCTCTCCTGGTATAGGTTTATCTTTGTCTTTTTGCTTGTAGTGATCTCTTTTTTTATCATTATCTTTATGATTTTTCGTTGCCTTACTTTCGTTATCTTGTTCATCTTCATCGCCGTCTTCTTCATCATCGTCGTAGTATGGATTGTAGCGGGGGCTAACTATAGCGTTGTTGATGGGAAATGGAATAGGATACGGTATGGGGATGCTTTTAGAGCTGTCTCCACAACTGCAGCAGTTACAGCAACTGCACGTTTGTCCACACATACCATTAAAATTCCTGTTCCGACTTGCAAGTAGGAGAATTGTCAGCAACATGCCGAGATTGTCGTCATCATTCTGTGGGTACACAATTGGTGGTGAACCATATCCAATTGGAGCAATAGCTTGGGTTGACACCGCCTAAAATAAAAAGAAAATAAATTTAATGGTTTTATCAAAATAATAATTTGTATACGTAATAATAAAACGCATGATTTTATTTATTAAAGATAGACAAAATTAATGAACTAAGATTAACATGTACATACTTTAGCTACTTAAAATAATTTTCTCATCTCTAATATAATTAATCTCCGCAAAATAAGGCGTAATTAAATTAATTATTTAAATTTTTAAATAAGATAAATTTGGAAAGTTAAAACGGCGCACAACGGCAAAAGTTACATCACACAAAATATGTAATTTTTAATAATAAACTTACTTCGAAATTATTAGGAAATATTGCACTTGTTACACAAACTACAACAAATAGATTCCTCATAGTGTTAACGTGTTGCGCTATTTTAAAATAAGACTAGATATCAAAGTAAGTGAATCATCGTGTGAAGCAAGTGGAAACGTAAGTGCTTCAGAAATATAAATATTTTCAATTTTATAGGTTCTATGTTATATTGTAAAGTATTGCTTCACTGGTATCAACTAACTTTATCTAATCGCAACTATTACATCACATCTTTATGACTTTATCTCACATGTTTCAAGATAATGTGTAAGAAATATATGTCTGTTTCAATCCAATATGAAAAGTGACGAAACACTAAGTTCCATAATATTATAATTCTTCAATGATTTTTCTGTTTAAATGCTAATTTTGGTGCTAGCAAAAGTGCATAAGATAAAATCCGTCAATGATATTTTAGACTATTCCTAGATAACTAATACTCTGAAATTATTTTTAAAAAAGATATGACTTTTCACGTAAGAGTAATAACTGATAAAAATTATAATGAATGTTTTATATCCTCAATATTTTTAATTGCATTTAAAGACTATAAATTATTTTAAATATGCAAAATTACTACGATCAAATAAATAAAATAGTAAAAAGAGAACAATTATTATAAAATACATAACAATTATCAAAGTAGAAGAATCAAAGTAATTATTTTTATTTTTTATTTTATTTGTTAAGGACAGCCAACAAATCTTACAGCAAAAGAATTAAATTCTTAAGCTATCATCTAAGATTTAAGCTAAATGCAAATTCAATTACAGGCTGCCACGGCTTGCAAGTGCGAGTGATTAATGTTTATTTAAAAAATAATAAAATATAAAGAAAAAACTAAACTAATCCAAAATTATTTCGTACTCAATTATTATTATTCCTATACCTAGAATTATTCAGATCAAGTTTTGACACTTAATCATAGAGCGTGGGGTTCAAATCAAAAGCCAGACCAACGTTTGTAAAACACGCAAAATGTTTGCCTTTTAACATGTTGATTGCCCACGTGTCACTGACACTGTTTCTGATTTTGCCTGCGATTCTCCGTTTAGTAGCTCACAGGAAGATCAATAAGAGTTCTTAAAGTTTACATTTCAAAATTATAATATAAATTAACTACTGTTGTTGACAGTGTCAGTGTTACAGTCTCTTAGTTAATTGAAATATCGAATAAAAGGTATAAAAGAAGTCAAACTTATTTAATTCCAATACAACTTATCCATTTACAATAAATTAATAAACAAATGTTATTATTTTATTATTTAAGCGTTAACGACAAATTCTAGTAGAATTCACTAGATAGTAGGTGTACATTTCTGCCTAAGAGTATTTTTGGATTAGTACATGGTACCAACCTCGTACTGTAGCCAAGCAGCGACGCATCCATTGCTGTATTCCGGTTTGAAAGGTCAAGGAACCAATAAACTTACAGTCAGCATTTCATGAAGCATTTCATGTCGGTCCTCAGGTGAACTTTTTTCATGTCTCTATGGGTTTCTACTACAACATTATTTATTTTACAATTAATGGAGATATTAATAACAATAAGTTAATTATAATCAGTCATCATCATCATCATCATCATCATATCTATTACTTTTAGAGTCTTGGTTTCTAGATAACTTTGGACACAAAAATCCTGAATTTATTATTGGATTATTAATCGGTATCGGTATAGGATATGGAATGGGTATGGAGTTACCACCTCCAGAATTACAAGGACAGCAACAGCAACATCCAGCATTAATACAACTTTCACGGTCGTTGTTAAACATTGCTAAAAGCATTATTGGCAACCAGTCTTTTAGCAACGATTTCTTCTTTTTTATAATGACCTGTTGAGGTGGCGCTGGAGGTAAATATCCATTTGAAAACCAGTTAGGGTTTGTGAATGAATTTACATCTACGGAAGCAGTCTTTTCTGGCGATGGTGTTGGTAACGCTGCATTTATAAACGTAATTCGCGGAGCCTCTACGTTGGGTGGTGGTATCGAAATTTGTAAATTAATCGGAAACGATTGACCGTATTCTGTCGTCAAAATTGAATTTGTACATATCGGTTCCAAATTTAATCCGTTTGTAATTTCAAATGTACTCGGTGTGCTTTCAAGTGGCAATGCTGGCGCTGATGTCATTTCTTCAGATTTTTCGCTAATTTGAAAACAATGACACGGTTCGTCATTTATCTGTGGAATTAGCACTGTTGATTGTGGCTGTGCAAATTCAGAAATGGACGGAATAAATGGATTATTTTGTTGAGTTCCTTGATTTAAGCCAGGTGAAATTATAAGTGGTGGGACTGTAAGCACTTTAGCCAACTGTGAATGCGTGTATGCTGTAGATGAAGTTGGAATTATTGCATTCGTGTTGGGTATAGCTGGGGCTACTGATTGAGTAGTTGCAAAAACTGGTTCTTGTTGATAAAAAGAGCTAGATTGAGATGTAGGCACTATAGCAATATTTTTCTGCGTGAATTCTTGGGTTGTAGACTGTGTCTCTGGTGACACTGTTCTAGTTGGTTGAATTTGTGGAAGTATGTCAGGAAGCACTCCTTTCGCTGCGGCTATCGTTAGTACAGTATTTAACAATTGTGGTGTTGGTGAAGGGTTGTTTGAATTAGACCCCTCTTTGACACACTCCCTGTATATGATTGGTCCTGACGGTACAGCTGGCGCACCTTGACTTGTGTTTTGACTTAGAACCTGGTGATTCTGTAAAGAAAAATACACTTTGTTTTAGTGAATGAATTATTATGTTTCATAAGGTAATTACAATCAACTTACGTTTAGTAATAAGATTGTGATAAATTTTAATATTGTCCACTTAAGTGGACACTCCATGACGAACACCCGAATACCATTTATTTATTTACTTATATAACAGAGTTTCTGTATATATACTATCATTTCACATATAATTTTATCAAAATTAAGTAAACCCTTACAACATGCATTTAGTCGCTAACAAATCAGTTAATGACTTAAGCAATTTTACTTAAAACCTATGATAAAAAGCTAATACTCACATCATTGAGGAAAGCCCTATGCCACGGAGTGGGAGTAAATAAGAAGTTAAGCAATCTTAACTTTTTACAACAGTTTATACTAAACTATAATTTACAAGATTGGAAAATGTATTAATCACTGTCTTTATCTTAAAATTAATGTACGATATGTTAAATATTTAATATGAGTTTGATTTGTTACTTATAAGCGATATGCAGACTGCGTTCATGGCACTACATCTCGAGGAGTAGGGCTATATTATGATAATTTTTATTGTTGTAAATTTGTTAATGTTGTGATACAGAATTAAATATTAATTTATAATTTTTATCTAGAAATCTTTTGTTACAGGTAAATTGGAAGTTGCTTTCGATCTTACTTTCGCCGTTATACACGTATGTAGAATCTGCGCTTTCATCTTTTTTATTTTTTTAACAAATACTAGCAATAATTTTAACATTGCAAATATTGACTAACCACTCCCGATAATCTTAAAATGTTGGGAGTAGTTCACGACAGTAGTCGCATCTGGCGGATCCGAACCCACAACCTTTGATTCGCGGTCTGCACCCTGCCATTAGGCTACTGTCGCTTTCATCTTTATAGTAGATCTGTGTTATTTGCAAATAAAGCTGAATTCAAGTCTGTAATTCCTTATAACAATTGAAGTTAGGAAATTTCTATGTATTGGACAACTTCTTTTGATAGTCGTTGGATTTCGCAAATTCTGATTTTTCTGTTGAAACTAAAGAAGACTAACGAAATCTTTCAAATTGCTTTTTGTTAAGTTTTGTTTTATAGGGACAGAATCTTATGGTTATTATATGATAATTAGTACAGTTTTGGTATGTTTGTTAGTATAATTAAGTTATATAGCATTAATGGTTATAATGGTTATAGCTTCAAAAGGGTTAACAAATTTCAAAATAGAAATATAGAAATAAAATGCGAAATAAATTACACACCATATGATTGATGTTTAGATAATCTAATTAAATTTAGTAAGAAGTCAAGTAAGTATTCAAAGTAAAATTCAATTTTTAGTAGATTTTATCACTTTTGTCTTGTCAAATATAATAAAAGTACTAAAATTTAAGTGTACGTAGATAATTTTTTTAGAAACTAATGAGACAAAATCTGTCTAAAATACAATGGGGGCGCGTGCAGATCTAAATTAGACGATGTCTACGACCGTGTGATGAAACATTATCCTATATTATATATTGTGTTTGCTTTGCTAGTCCCTCCTCGTAGTGCAAGCAGAGCACTGTTTCTACACTAAATGCTTATAAATTCTATTTAATATAAGAAGTTTGCTTCATACATAATAAACAAACAGGAAACGTTAATCTATGTGTTTGTTACCCGATATTACTTTTGGTAATATCCGGGCGATAAGTACATCCGTACCGTAAGATATCACCGTCCTTATTTTTGTTTTCTATAAGTATGCACTAATATGCCGCTAGCCGACCTTTAATCAATTAGTTAGATGGTCAACATTAATTTTAACGACGGCATTGGATGCCTAAAGAAGCTCAGCTAACAGTAAAGAAAAAGGCGACACACGTTTGTTTAACTATATTTTAAAACGAAATTATTACATATCTTCTCGTTATGTATACCTCAGAACTTGAAAACAAAAGTGTACAACCAGTGCGTGGTGCCGGTGATGAGTGATGACATATAGATCTGAGACGTGATCCTTCGCTGCTGCCTGTGTAAAAAAGCTAAAGCTCGTTCGCCTGCCATATAGCACGAACCGATGAGTAAGAAAGGGTTTCGAGTGGCAGTCTGCTACCAGCAAGGAAAGTGTAAGGTGCCTCGCTAGATGGAGCGACAACCATGTTGTAGAGGGCATGTTAACGTGCTTTGCGGTATTCCTTGTGAGAGGCCTATGTTTAGCACGAAAATGAAATAATTTACGTCATGTGCCCCTTTATTCTGCCATATCAAAAGGGCTGACTTGCGGTTAGCTTATACGTCAATTTTATATGCGCTGTTTTAATGAATGGACTAAAAGTTTTTGTTTTTGTAGAATGGGGTGACATACGAGCACACAGTCCACCCGATGGTAAGTGGTTGCTGTGACCCATAGACATCTAAATCTATCCTCAATAAATAATCAAAATGCAGATGCGTTGTTACCCGTAAGGACCAAGATGGTATGCCTCTTTTCCAATAAAAGGGGTCTCCGGTTCTCCACACTCACCATACGAAACACAGCAGTGCTAAGCTGCTATTTTACGCTGGTATTCTGTGAAGAGCGTGGTCCTTTCCCTGTCGAGCCGACACATTCGTGCTACAACTATACTATTAGTTTAGCTGCAGCATGGCTCTACCACGTTTCAAAAAAGTTTACGCATTCATTTAAATGCCGGCGTATAAGTAACGACTCAGTTGTTCAATCTATCCAAACTATAAATACAATCTTACAGCGTGGCATAATGCCGCCGCCACCCGTCATAATTAAAGAAATAACCGTCGATGACATACGTGTCTATGGAAAATAACAACGTCCGTTACATCATGTCCCCCAACTACTGGAAAAGTGCCTAATAACACACGGACTGATGAACTAACAATTTTATTCATTCTTTCATTCCCTATAGGTTGCCTCATAGGTAACCTCATTTCTTTAATTAAATTTTTAGTTATTATCAGGAAGATTCTTACCGTGTAGTGGCGGTGTAAGAATATTCACTACCCCATATCATCCCGTGGGTGTCGTAAAAGGCGACAGACGGAAACAAATCAGGAACTCAGGAGATCACTACCCTGATACAATTAACCGTCCCAAAGCATGCGCGTTACGACAATGCCAACTTATTTAATTTTTTTAATATTAAATTAAACTGACCAAATATTTAAATAAGCTGACCAATTATCAGCGAATGCTTCTCAATGGTGCATAGGTGTAATTTTATATTTTTTCGCGAATGAGGTGCTAAAATTTCTCAATGACCTTGAAAAACTTTAACCCTTAATAAAAATGTTTCTGACGCTTACCAATCAATAAGATCAACTGACCTTTTATGACCAATTTCTGACCTTTCAGATGGTATAATTGGTAAATCGAAATTCCGTACATGAGGTACTAACATCGCGGTGCTCACCTTGTCTCCGGTGAAGGAACCCTACCACCACCCACATTTTGACTCAATCAAAGACCGTTATAGACCACAATCAAAACAAAGTGGCAAAATGAACCATTTTATAATATTTTGCAATAGTTAAATAACGAAATCTAAAGGTGAGTCCTGAGAAAAACGTTTTGTAGGGCGTGGGGCGTAATATAGCGTAGTATAAATTAAGAAAAGCGTAAATATTAGGCGTAACACCCTACCCAACGTCGGTCAACACTCAACACAGTCACAATTTTTTATTATTTAATATTTAGTTAACTGACAAATACTTAGGTTTTAGGCCGTCGGTGTAGATTTTGTTAAATAACTGCACGTTAGTACTTTCTAGTAGGTACCATCAAGTTGATTTTTTACTTTCTTATATTTTCGAAAACTTCTCCAACTCCATTAAAAACAAAAGCCGGTAATACACGTTATTGTATTTTAAACAATAGCTTAAATTTAAAAAGTGACGTTACAGATGATTAGAACTTAGAACGACCTTTGCATCGTGACCTGGATGCGCGTTGGCCGAAACCGCTCCACAGACTAAACAATAACAGACTTTTGGGTATGGAGTAGCCCTGAATATTATAAATATATACTGTTTCACTGTAAAATATTACAACGTCTATGTAAAAACATATAAATAATTATTAATGACAAAACATTACATAATGGAACAAATATTTATGAATGTATAATCTGTATTCGTTATTTTTTTCAATAAACATAAAATTTTCTAATTATACACAGTACAGAGCCGTGGTAGCTCAGATGGTTAGCGCTCGCTGTAAGTTTCACAGTACGGGACAACCTGGGTTCGATCCCCGCCGACACCAATGAAATTGTTAATTGCAATTTAAGTACTGAAGGAAAACATCGTGTTCCTCACCTATTTTTCCAACCAAGTATTTCGAAGACATGTGAAGTTTGCCAACACGCATTGGGGCAGCGCGGCGTATATTTCCTTGCCCTAAAACCCTCTCAGAAATGAGAGGAGGTCTGTGCCAAGCAGGCATATAAATGCGTATAAGTTACAGCATATAAAGGCTGTAACTTATACGCATTTAACTTTATACGCAGTAAAATATTATATAGCTTCTGATAATCTATAGTCCATTTAAAATGGTTAAAAAGTTAAACTTTTAATAAATAGTCAAAGCCGACTTTAGAGAATTAAAAATAATAAATAGTTTTCACATAACTGTTTCTGAAGTCGCGCTGTAATTTTTTGAACACTGTTGTGACACCAACTTCTGAAGACGTTAGGTATAAATCATTTAATTATTTTAGTTCTTTGAAGTCGGCCTTTACTTTTTCTTAAAAGTTTAATTTTAGTAATTCCATCCGACTTATGTAATATATAATAATTAATGTTTGTTTGTTCGTATTTTATGCGCTGCCATATCGTTCACCAGATTGCGGTAAAACTTTGTCATCTTATTGCTTCCAGTACCACGGAGGTTATAGGCATAGTACAATTAACTTACAATAGGTGGCGCGCAAATCGTACTGACAAATTAATTTGAAACCTATATCTTTATATATAAAAATTACGTGTCACATTGTTTGTCCGCGATGAACTCCTAAACTATTGAACTGATTTCAATGAAATTTTGTACACTGTGTGCAGTTTGGTCCAACTTGAGAGATAGGATAGTTTTTATCCCGATAAGTGACCTTCAATATTTTATTACTGCGAATTTA